GATTTAGAACACTAAGGAGATACACATAAGTCCAAACCTTAATATCCTTGCCATTACCCATACTCCATTTTAGCCCCTCCAAGAGAAAAGATTTCGAGCCCCATAAACTCCTCCAAGAGTAGCTCGTAACGTATCCTCAAGGTGCATCAAACACCAAACCATTTTTGAAGTAACGAGCATTCATAACATGTAGCAGTGAGTCTTGGTTCGTGTTTAGGCGCAAAATTTGCTTAGCCAAAAGTGCATGATTAAAGACCTTGAGATCCCTAAAACCCATGCCACCCATCGCCTTTGGTTTACATAGTACATCCCAACTATGCTAGTGCATCTTAATATTTGTCCCACCCCAACAGTACGCTTCCCACCTCTCCCAACATTCATAAAACCAACACTCCAATTTTGTCCCTAATGGAAATGGAAAATCTGTTGTTCGACAAAGGGAGTAATTAATACATGTTAATATGTATTCTTAGAGTAAGTTTGTTTAAGAGTTTACCTAGTTAGACAAGGCAATAAGGCAATGAGCCATGTTGTGACCTATTTTAGTACCAGAGTTCACCATGAATAGGTCATGAAACTCGTATCATGTCTCCCACTTCAAGGGCCTAATCCATACCAACATACATAGCTATGAGACATACTATGTTTATTACATTTTGACAAACTGGCCACGTACAGCCCACGTCTCATGTTGTGCCTCCCATTACAAGGGGCTGACTAAGAGTGATGTTACATACTTACATATGTAAGCACATACTTGAAATCCCTTCCATGGTCTACGCCATCTAAATTGATCCAAAATTTTGCCCAACCAAAACCATAACCAACTCGAGCATTCTTGAGAGTTTAGACTTGTTTTGTGTCTGGTGTAGAATCGTATTTTATTTTAACCTACCTTATACATTCATCTTTATGTGTACTTTCAAAACATTAATTTTCTTGATTTAAACATACAAAAATATAGATATTGTAAATAAAAAAATGTGCAACAATGAAAAAAGAAAACTGGGACAAACGTTAAGAAACGTACGAGGTGATATATATACCAATCTATAGGGGAAAATCTCACAAAGACGAATTAAAAGATTCATAATTTATCAACGACAGATTAGCCACTAGTTGATGAAATGCAACTAATCCACCCATTTTCGTTGTCTCTAAAAAATCTAGATTAACAAAGTTTATTATTGAATTGCTAAAAAACAAAATAATCATTCACAACAATTCATATTTAAAAGATATTTAAATCAATGGAAAATTTTTCTATAACAACACCAATTATACTTAAGGTGCACAGACTAGCACATTGCCATCTGAGATACAGTTTATGTCATTGCGTTCACCCTTGGTCAAATAAATAAGAAGAAAATTGGGCAAGAAAAATCATCAATTCTTATGTTAAAAATAGAAGACCAAGAACATAAGAAACCCATTCTTCATTCTAACACTTTGCCTATACTTAGACCACTACAACACCACCTCCCTCATCTATTAACTTGAACTCCCAATGCATAACTATGAATATTGCAACTCCAAGTCAATCTCCTTGTCAACACCTTTCGCTCATCAATACATTCAAGACCAAAACATTTGAATCAAAACCCTGAAATCCTATGAGCCTAGCAAACCCTTGGACCTATGCTTGATGTTAAATATATATATATATATATATATATATATATATATATATATATATATATATATATATATATATATATATATATATATATGCCTAACTTACACTAAAAATGATTATAGTTTAAGAAATGCAATAAATAGTGATATTGCCTTCATCGACAGGTCTCGATTAATACATTAGTCACTTATTAACAATGTTAGAAGATGGAATTTGGGAATGACGTTAACTTAAGATGAATATCCAAATTCTAGTTTAGGCTATATAAAAAGGCACATTAAGGCGCTAGGCAATTTGGGTAGAGTGCTTCTTGCTCTATGGAAAGGTAGAGATGCCCCTAAGAAGCATGAGGCACACAAGGCACGCCAAGGCGCACACAAGCAAATTTTTCTAGTTGCTTTTTTGCTGTGCTCCTCACTTCAAAGAGGCGCGCTTCGTAGGCCTAGCCGAAATAGACCTTCATCGCTTCAACGCACTATAGCTTTTTATACATTGTTAATTACTTGTGTGGACTTGAGCCAAATTCATTTCCAAATTATTTGCATCCCCAACAAGAATCCAACATATGAAACGTAATGATCATTTCCAAACAGGCCATTAAGGAATTTGGTTTTTATTTTATTTTTTTTAAAAAATATAATTCATATTTCTCGCATTAACACTATGTTTGGATATAGAGAAATAGAGGGAAGGAAAAAGAAGAGAAAAAGAAAAATGCATCATCCTTTATTTGGATAGCAAATGCAAGGAAGGGAAGGAAATGAAATTGGAAGAATCCATTTTCCTTCCCCTTTTAATAAACCAAATATCTCCATTGTTGAAGAGATTTGGAAGGAAAATGAAAGGTCACCTTTTCCCTCCCTTCACCTCCCTTTCCCTTCCCCTCTTTTTCCCTTCACTATTGTTATCCAAACATAGTGTAAATCTCACATATTATCGTTATAAGTTCATAAGAAGATACACTAGTACTTTGCTTTACCTATATAAGAGCTATTAACTTCATAAAGTTAAAAAGTCCATTATCAAGTTGCACTATAAAAGTGTTTTTACGACTTCTAAGGAATGATCAATGTTAAGGGTAAATATTATGAAAAATTTACTAATATTAACAACCCTCTAATACTTTGTTTGGATCGAACAAAATGGAGGGAAAAGAAGGTAAAGGAAATGGAGGGATGAATTACTTTTCATTTGGATAACAAATGTGGGAAGAAGAAAGTTAGAGGGGGAGAGATATAAAGAAATTAAATTGAAGAAATTGATTTCTCCAACAATGGAGAGATTTGGAGAAAAAACTCATCATTCTTCCCTCCCCTTCCTTCCCTTTCCAACCTTTCCACTCCCTCCCCTTTCTCTATCCAAACACACATTAATGTTCTCATTTTTACGGTGCTTTGCATTGTGTTTGGATAGAGAAAGGGGAAGGAAAAGAAGGGGAGGAAGGGAAGGGAAAGGGAGGGGAGGGAAGGAAGATGATTTTTCCTTCCAAATCTCTCCATTGTTGGAGAGGTCAATTTCTTATTATTTAATCCCTCTATTTCTCTCCCCTCTAATTCCTTTCCTTCCTCATTTGTTATCCAAATGAAGAATACTTCATCTCTCAATTTTCTTCTCTTCTTTTTCTTCCATGTCCTTTGATCCAAACACAGTGTATCTGCAAATAACAAGGAGATAAAAGGTTCTTCACCACCTTCTACTAAAATTAGTTATCTCCATTTATAGGAATTATAGAGAGCCTCCAAGTAGAAAATGACAAGAAAATGTGGGGTATACCCAAGTAAAATTTATAATAATATTCCAAAAATCTAGTTCCTCGCAGGTTGCAAGTTTGCACTTTGACACCATTTACTATTCTTTATTTTAAGGATCCAAGAATGTGGATAAGAAGTTATATAGAGTTTTTTCATGAAAATCTTCATCTTATTACTTTTAGAGCATATTAAGTAAAGGTTTTTTTTTTTTTTTTTTTTTTTTTTTTTTTTTTTTTTTTTTTTTTATTGGAAACGGATTCAATTAAACTACTACCGTTACCAAATGTTTGGTTAGAAGATTTTCTTAACAATTACGAATTACCTTTACCCTCCTTAAAAAAATGAATTTAAAAAAATGGATTTTTTTCCATAGATAACAAATAAAAATATAAGAGTTCGATAATCCTATTTCCCCCTCTTATTTGTTTTCTTTCCATTCCGTTTTCAATATTCATAAAAAGGGTGAGAGCTTTGGTGTGGACTTTAGATAAGGGAAGGCTTAGTGCAAACATTATACTCCAAAAGCTACCGATGATGGCTATAATCCTATATCACTCACAATTTCTGGCTTATTAGTTAATAGCAAGTCTTGCTAGTATGAATTCCTATATTATACAATACTTCCTCTGCCACTGGACAATACTTGTTAAATTTGCACATATTTTTCATTATTTAGTAGGGGCGGGTGAGAAGGTGAGGAAAAGAGAGTCTATATCACACGGATGAGAGAGAAAAGTTTCCAATTTTTTATGGACATCCTAAATAGGAATTTAAAAAGATTATATGCGGATAAAGGAAATAGGTTTGCTACCTTGATAACTAGGAGCATACAAGAGTGCTCACAAATTCTCATTGCAAGATTTGGTATAGGGAATGAGAATAAGTTACTCCGACAAAATGCAATACTTGTAATTCTGCTATGTATAGTTGGAACAGAATGGCTGGATTTCGAAAAAAAATTTAATACCTTTATGGGGCGATTGGTATAAGGGATGGGATTAACTAGAATAAGAAGGTGGAATAAATAAGTGGGATATGGATAGAAATAGTATAATCCATTGTTTGGTATAGGTTGAGATTAGATTAGTATAACTAATAAAAATACATAACTACCCTTACTATCCTTTCTTCACTATCTTCTCCTTTCTCTTTCATTAAGGGTAAAAACATCTTTTTACCATTCAATTTAATCCCCATCCCCTATACCACCCCCTCTTAGTTATTATTTTAGAGGAATAACTCCCTTTTTTTTATCCCCATCCCAAACCCCCCTCTATATCCCCATCCCTCTAAACAAACAAAAGACTAGTCAAGTCCCTCCTCTTTTATCCTTATCTCTCGACTCCTATCCCTCTATGGAATAAAGCAGCCGGGACGTTCCCAAATTACATCGGGATATACAAAGAAATTGGGCTAACTTGCAGTTATTTCCTGTCTCATTCCAAGGACCATTTGTTCTCTTAATGTACTTTAAATTAGAATAGCTTGTGCAGTTTAAGAAAAAGATCTTATCAAAAATTAAAATAGTTACTTTATTAACAGGGCAGTATTTTCAGTATTGGATTTTGAATTCAAAAATAAATATTGCTGATGGTTGATATTTACTTTGCCAGCATGACATCCATAATTGACCGCTATAATAAGGCAAAAGAGGAAGAAAATCAACTGGTGAATCCAAATTGTGAGCTAAAGGTAAGATTGACTTCTTATTTTGAATGTATAATACTATAATTGTTACCAGAATGGCAGCATATTAATGGATCCTTCCAAGACAAATATAAATGAAAACAGGAAAATCTTCTTTTTGTTTGGAAGTTAACAGAAAATCACTTCTTCATATTCACAGGCAAATATTTGCTCTTAATTTTACAGTATTTTACAGTATTTTATTTTATTTATTTAATTATTTATTTATTTATTTATTGAGGAATGGTTAAAACTTACTTAAGTATCAGAAATTTGCAAGCCGCTAGTCCGAGTGCAATATTATATTTCAAGACTATAAATAAAAGTTTCAAGCTAGGTTAACTAAGAAATCATATAATATAATAATTTATCATAACAAAATGCAAATAAAAACCATTACTACTCTCAATGGAAAGCAATAAGAATTCTCTATAAAGTAGAAAAGCAGAAGCAACAAAAACATAAGACAATAACAACTACCAGAAGATTACAGTAGCAACTACTGAAACATGAAATTTTGAAAGGTCAGGATTTAAGATATACACAATCTCACCTCTAACAATCAGACAGGGTTATTTACAAACTACTTCAGGTTATCAGCTAAAAACAATTTAAAACTATTGCAGTAACAGCACCAAAAATGCAACAAAGTGTGTTTCCATTCTGCACTGCTACCCAGCCAGCAATGGATGCAATAAAGTAACAACCTGCATCCCTCTCCTGTCATCATTGTATGGGCCCTCATTTCATTCATCACCATCTCCCTATTACTCTATAGTTATATTACCACAGCAGTCTAATGACCCAACTATCCAGATAATTTTCCACGTCTTATGCTGAAAATTGGACGCCGTGAATTGTTTGACACATAGTACTACTTAATCCTGATATATGATGCTGAAAATTGGATGCCGTGCTTCTCTGATCCCATCAAGGGATGTAATTAGAAACACAACTTACAACTATATCATATTGGTTGTTCTAGAGGACTCTTGAAAATTCTCAAATACAAATTTCACTTCTCTTTCTATTTAGAGAGGCATATAAAGCATATATGTATATAATCAAAATGCAACAAAAGAACTAGTACTCCCAAGATCAAACAAATTTTAACTGGGGAAAAAATTTAATAGATCTCCAAAATCATATAGCTCTTATAAGCCTTTGTCGTCCTTGCACAATAGGAAGTTGCGTAAGTTATTCTAGCCCACAAATAGACTTATTCCCAAAGATATGGGGTTAGCTACATGAACCAAGAGTCTCTCTCATATGATCAACCCAAACATCATCCTTTTCCAATCTCTGCTTTCTACTGCTACATCATCTAATAAGCCCACTTTCTCCATGCGCATTTTAAATCCCATCCAACAAACATTCAAACACATCTTTGGTTTTCCTCAACCAAACTTAAGATCTCTTTTATTCCAACCCTTCACCTTCATTACCACTGCATCTTCCGGTCAGCATCTCAAATGCCCAAACCATTGTAATCGACTCTCCCTTATCATATCTTTAACATTACTTCGAATACCTACATACTTTACTCCCTCACCATGTTTCCACACATATAATACACATTTTTTCATGAGCTTCTACTTCTAAATGCCTAACAAACCATATAAGATGGTGGGGGAAAAAGGAGTTTGAGAAGATATGCACCATAAAATTACCATAAAAGCATTGTGCCATAGGAATAACTCATTGGCCCCCCAAAAACCTACAAAGCACATCATAAACGCCACTCCAAAAACGTAACAAACATTAGACTCCCCATACATCACAAACTTATTCCTCTTAAGCTTAATGACATGTCAGGTAACAACAGAGAAAGGCAAGACATCATGATTTGAATTGAATTCACATACCAAACAAATAATGACATATAGCCAACCCCAATCTTGTTTATGAAACATATCATCAATAAATGCCTTTCATAAACTTATCATTTAATTTTACCTGACAAACAATAATTATATCTAGTGGCTTACCTGTACCAACCTAAATACAGCCTAATTAACTTCATCAACCCTACTCTTCAATCAAAGACACCACCATTATTAGTGTAATACACTTATTTGATTTTAATTTTCTTCGATATTACATAAAAGATTATTCATATTTTTAAAAGGAGATTAAAAAACAAATAATTTTCATAAAAGATAAAAAAATAAAAAATAAAAATAAAAAAATAAAAAAAAAATAATAAAAAAAAAAAAACTGATTTGTATAATAATAATTATTAGGTTGAAATAAATCTAAAATTTCTAGATGATCAACCCTATTATTGGCTCTCTAAAATTTCTAGATTATCAAACCCTATTATTGACTTTAAGGTGTAAATACCTCTTTATGCCTTAATTATACAATCCCCTATTATTCATTTCTATTGGTCTTCTTAACTTCCATGTTACAATTGTAATTTTGTTTTGCTTCCATCATCAGCATTTCAATGTAGTCTAAAGTAAGGGATCAAGTCCCCTTGCAGGAGTACTTTGCGTATTTGGTTTCCCATTGATTAATACATCATTGTACTTTTTTTTACAGTTTTGACATTTGAGAATAGTTCTCTCTTCCCAAGAGTGTATAAGAGTATTTGTTCAACAAAACTTAAGTTTCTTAAGTTTTGACGAACACATACTCTTATACATTGGGAAGAGAGAACTATTCTCATAACTTAAAAAAAATACAGTGATATATTCATCAATGGGAAACCAAGACCAGATTGAACTCTTACAATGGGAATAGATCCTTACATTAGAGTACCTCGAAAAGTTAATGATGGAAGCAAAACAAAACTACGAGTATAACATTGAAGAGAAAATGAAGACCAAATGATTGGAATAAAAAAGGGTCATATAATTGGGGCAGATGGAGGTATTTAAACCTATTTTAAATTTCAAATTAATAATTTATATAAATATGAAAATCACTTTGATATCTTTAATGAAAATCAGTTTGTTATCTTTTTTTTTATAAAAAACATTAAATAATCATTTAATTTAATATTAAAATCAAATCAATGTATAGAAATTGTTTCTTAGAAAATACTTGAAATTTAGAGGTATTACAATTAGTGCCTGTGCTTAGGAGGTAATCACCATCACAAAACACGTGGGAAAATTGAGAAAAAAACAAATGGGTGCAACGTATTCAAGTGTATGAGAAAAACATTGTTCTTGTACTTTGGTTGGTCAAGACAATCAGGCACCAAATAATGTATACTTCCTCCGTTCTAATAATATTGCTACAATGAGACTTTTGCACTATTCATTACTCTTGTTTGACCATATAATATGATTTATACATTATGCAAAATATAGTAATGTGGGATCTTGTTCGATTCGTCTCATAAAATACTTTCACAATATTAACTTTTTATAATTTATACTCTAATACAATTATAGATATTTAATATATAAAATGTGTTTGGAATGCGTAATTTCATCCTTGTTGCAATATTATTAGAACGGAGGAAGTATAAATACTAGCTATACGGAAAGAAAAAAAAACCTCTAATTGATCCAACATTATTTCTTGGAGCTAATAAATAAAAAATATAGATCTTACCACTGTGATTTTGTTCACCTTCTGGCTTCATATCAATAAAGGCAGAGCCCCACGATAAAAGTTGTGTGAAAGACGACACATTTCGAATGAACTGGTTGACAAAATCTCCTTTTTGTAATTACAGACATGAAGATGGTATTAGTTGTATTACAGACATCTTAAAATAGCAGACCAGAGATGTAATCATCCCTTCAAAACAAAAAGTGGATCTCACATCATATCTATCAGTGAAAAATGATTGCAGGGGCATACATACCTATCTAAGACAACAGCTCCAAGAAATAGCAAACATCAACGTTTATTTCAATCCCTCAGAAATAAACAACCTGTAAAACATAAAACTCTTTTTAATAAGATACTTAGGTTGTACAGAAAACGAGCACAAAAACCTTGAACACAAGGACAGAGCATGCCAGCTTGTATCAGTAATATACCAAGAATCATCACCAAAACAAAAAAGCTTGTGTTTTCATTACTAATTATTAATCTTAGATTCAGAAATCTTGAGAGAGAGTACTTCACTGTGGAGATAATTGGAAATAGCTATGATTAATATAACAAGGGACCTGCGCAATGACTCCATCAAGGACTCCTATTGCTGACGTATGGAAGACATAGGAACAAGGGTAAAGTAGGCAAGTCACCATAATTCAAGCAAGTCACTATAATGCAGAAAAGTCGCAATAATGCTGTGAGGAGGAGTATTGGATCACGAGAAGTTTGTTAAAAATGACTGGGAAACTTGGATAGGTAATAAAAAGGGCGGAGAAGGATAAAGGGGAGATCATAAATATTATGTGATGCATTTTTTTTTTTTTTTTTTTTTTTTTTTTATAGAATCATGCCTCTCAAATGCTTTAGACCATTTCTAATTTATATATAAATTCCCCATCTGCTAAATCTTCTGCTACATTTCCTACTCTTTCGGTAATTACTCTGTTTTGTAAGTTACAGATTATAAAGTGGGTAAACATTTTGGGATGGAGGAAGCTTTGTGTTTGATCCATTGTAATACAAATCCTAAAAGTAACAGGAGAAATGCTCTTATAATATTATTGAAAAGGGTGTACTACATAGGAGTAATTATTATCCTGTATATGCCAATTACATCAACATTTCTTACCATAATCTTATGCATAACTGTATTTGGTAGTTCTGGCAAAAGGAAGTGGCAATGCTAAGGCAGCAACTGCAGATCTTACAAGAAAGCCACCGGTATGATTTCTCTCCCAACATGACATCTTGACTATTTGAACAAAAAAAAAATCCACATCTATAACATAATCATGCTTTCATAGTTCAGCTCAACTTATTTCAACATACGAGTGCTCTTGTCGTCTAAACTTTTTATTCTGTATCCAATATACTTGCATCCAAATTTTAAGATTTTTCTTGTATATAGTCAAAACTTACAAGAATCGATTTTCAATTGAACTAATTGTTCAATAAAAAAATTAAAAAAAAAAAAAAAGAAAAAAAGAGGTGTAACATTAACTCCCTCTAATTCATGAAATTCTTCCAACTCAACCTCCTTATTTGGCAAATTAAATCACTTTCTACCCTAACTTGCCCAATTTGATGGACACACTTTAAAGACACATATGATCACAAGCACAAATAACAAGAATATTTAAAGTAAAAACAAACCTGACATTTGTTGTTAAAAACACGTTATCATGAATATGCGGATATGCAAATTTAATAAGGCAAAATCAAGAATATTTGATTCTGTTCAAAATCCTTAGGGAGCCAGGCTACTCGACGGATCATAATATCATACTCTCAACTAAGCACATCGACTCTCACTTGACCAATTAAAGCAATTAAGAAATTGTCATCGAGATAATCTGAACTTTGAACCACAAAACAGTCAAAATAGAGAAAGCCCAAAAAACTTTGTAACCATAATTCACCGATAAGCAATAACATAAGAGGTACTGCAGAAATGCAGTAACCTAGCTCACCCACTTTCTCCCACAAAAGAAACATAAACAGCAAAGGTACCCCAAAATGCTAAGATAAAGAATCCCAACCCCTCAGTTCTTAGAAAAATATCAAATATAATAGGTTAAAGTCTTCTGAATAGCGCCTCAAAGGGATGCTCTTTGCTGTCTTTGTCCTTGCCCAAATGTCAGATCCAGGGTTTAGGAAAAAATATGATAAAATGAGCCAAGAAGTTTAGAAAAAGTTGGGCTTTTTTGTTCCAATAAAGAGGAAAGGATGTAGAGAAGTTTGATGGACAGATCTTTCCAATCATGACCTCTGGACACGCTGCTTACTACAAAGTATGCCTCTAAGCATACACCTGAATACATTCGTTCAAAATGACAAGACACAACTTTGAATAAATTTAAGCTTGAGGTGAAATGAAAAGTGCTCCAACCCTCTTAAAATAATTTAGAAAAGTGAAGCAAGGTCAGCCAAGTAAGTGTGTACCTTCATACTCTTCAAATTAAAGGAACAAACACTATTACCAGAAATATAAGGAAGCATGACACACATTAACCATTTGTTGATGTAGGCAAATTATGGGGGAAGAGCTCTCTGGTCTGACAATCAAAGATCTACAGAATCTTGAAAACCAACTCGAAATGAGTTTACGAGGAGTCCGTAACAAAAAGGTACTAATACAAGTTCAATACCTTATTATAAACTGTTCCTGTGAAGCAGGAGCTGACTCATAGTCTATCTTTTGCAGGATCAACTGTTGATAAACGACATACAAGAACTAAATCAAAAGGTCAAACTTCTAACATTTACTATGCAAATTTCTTGTTTTAATGATTTGTTTCAATGAATGCACATCATAAATGACAAACAGCTAAAGCTCATTAGCATTGTTACAGAGGGAGCTCATTCGCCAAGAAAATGTGGAGCTATACAAAAAAGCAAATACTATTCGTCAAGAAAATATAGAGCTGTACAGAAAGGTAATTATTTGATCAGCAAAATGCACAGATTTTTGAATCAAATTAATGTAATTGTGTCAACAGATGAAATAATGACGCTATGAGATTCTTTTTCAGGTATATGGAAATGGAGATACAAGTGGAGCCAATGGTGCCATGCTTATTGATGGTGAAGACATGGAAGAGGATTCAAACGGACCTGTCCATCTACAGCTTAGTCAACCACAGCAGCAAACCCATGCATCACCAGGGGCTATAAAGTTGGGGTATATGACCTACTAGAAACTACTAACCTAAAGTGCTTATTCCTCTAACAGAAAGTTTGATCCATAATTCTTTTGTTCTTTTTGTTTTGCTGCAGCAGACTACAACTGTACTAGACAAGATGGCTTAGTTGGAAATACATTTATCCTGGTCACAATTCCCAAGGTCTTAATGTTCTGCTCTTATTACTAGATAGTGGCATAGAACCACAGACAATCAATAACACAATTGAATGGTCATGAAGAAAGAGAAGTTTGCATCTGTTGGAATGAAATTCTAGACAAAAAGAAACCAACAAAAAAAGCATTGAAAAAACCTATTGTTTCATCATGTCATGTAGAAAGAGAGAACAAATAAGACAATGTGTTTTATATTTTAGTGTTCTGTTAATATCTTTAGATCTCTTGTGCAAGAAATTCAACACAAAGAAAATATAGCTTTATGGGATTGCACAGTGTTCCAATACTCCCTAAAGCCATGTTTCATTATATAATTATATTAGCATCAGTGAGAGTGCGGCAAATAAAATAGCATACACTACACATAAAAGAAATCAGATTCCCCATCATCATAGAGCCAAACATTATAATATACATGCATTGAATAGGTTCATCCATAGACACGGTATAGATGACAGCACGATAATTATAAGTACAAAATAAAAAAATTAAAAAAAAAATAGCTGGAGTTAAAACTCTGAAAACATGCAGAAATGAATGCAAAGGACACAGGCTCAAGCATAATCATATTCCCAAGATGATCCCTGTATCTATGATTTCAATATTTCATGTAAGATGGATAGGTTAAGCAGTCATACAAGAACAGGAATGCCACAAATGAGCAAAATGTAATTCATTGTTAGCACAATGAAAATTAGATATACTACAACAAAATTCATGAGGAACCAAAACAGTAGAAACAAAAACAATGGATTCTACTACTTTTATGTGAATACAAAATGAGACAACTACAATGCAGAAATAAAATGGGCAAATTGAAGGCTCTCCGAACAGTCAATGCTTCACTGCAACTAGGCAGTATGGGGTAACTAGATCAGAAAGAAAGATCCACAACTTTCATACTAATAGATATTGTCTATTTGTTTCAAGAGACTTATATAAAACACTAACGTAAATGTCAAATTTACAGGTACAAGTTCTATCGGCTCAAACGTGAACTAAACAGACTATGGATGAAGATAGACACAAACTGGTCCTGAAATTAAATAAGAAACTGCAAGAAGAAATTCATTGTTGCATAAGAGGTAAGACAGTGTGGCAATACTGAGATTTGTATCTAGAATGTTGATAAGTTGTCAGGAAGAGAACTAATATTAATAGTCTACATTTTCAATACTGTCTATGTCAAGTAATGATTGTACAAACTTTCCTAAGATATGAACCAAGCAAGATAATCTCACTGAAGTTGTATTCAACCTTCTCTTCTCTTTTTGTTTCAAATATGTTTTGTTATTACTTTTAGTTGGTTTCCAATAATAAGAATCTTTACAATACATAAGTTCAGCAACCACCACCACCCACTAGAAATTCAGTCTAAGATGAAATCTAAAATGTACACAAAGTCACTCCTTGAAAAGACCATAAACACTTATGTGTGGCTAACAAATACTCCCTCCATCGATTTAATTTTTTTTAAAGTGTCAAACTTTCCAAAAACAGCCGTTTATTTGAAGTCCCAAACATCCCAAATTTGGAAACTTTGTACATATATCAATTGTCCCCACTATTACATTCTTTATTATTTCTCCCCTCTCAAAACCTTTATTTTAATCCCTACATCCCATAATAAAAGCCCATATTTATATTTTCACGGAAATATTCTTAAAATGATATTTAATAGAATAAAATTCTAGTCAAATGTACCATCATCCCCGTTAAAAAAGAATGGAAAAAAAAAAAAAAAAAAAAAAAAAAAAAAAAAAAACATGCATTCGATGAAAGTTTGGATATAGGAAAACTTTATGAGGGAAAAGTTAAAAAGTAAATAATGGCACAAATATTTGGAGAAATGTTGGGTATTTTATATGGGGAAAGGTAAGAAAAAATGACGTGTTATGGTAAAATGTATAAAATAGAAACAGTGATATTAGAGACAGGTACAAAATTAAGGGACACCCAAATAAGAATACATGCACAATAATTTGGGACGGAGGTAGTAATAAACTATTAAACCCACTATCAACTTTCTCACAATCTTTAATACTCCACAAGGAAGCTAGTGTGTCACGCAAAGTACAAAATATGCAGTTTTCATAGGACTATACTTCAGGGTAGGAAAAAAATTGAACTTACATGTGCATAAAAAGAATAACCAAGTACATTTCTATTGACATTTATGTGATTTATCCACTATTATAAATTCTTAGAAAGTGGCGTCCAACTGCCTACCTCCGTTTTCTAGAATTAACTCACTTTTTATTATCAACCATTTATATGAGTTCTCAACTCAAATGTGCACTAAACAGACTAGAATTAGCTCACTTTTTATTATCGGCTCAAATGTGCACTAAACAGACTATAACATTCAAGTAAAAATTGTCTATATTCAACTAATTTCCAGTCTATCACAAAAATTCCAATTTTCAATTAATCATCCCTTTAAAAAAAAATTGAAAATATGCTCAAAAACCATGAACAAGGAACATAATGCACATCACATTGCCAGTTTCACAAAATAACGATTGTGTAGCTCCCCACGTCAAGGTCTCTGGTTAATTTTTTTTTATATACTTATGTAGCTGGAGTCAAGTAGGCTTTGGGCAGCAATTGGCTTTTCCATATTCCCTTTAGTGTCGTTCTAATAAACATCTTTAGAAATTTATCAAAAGGAAAAAAAAAAGAAAATACAAAACAAAACGAAAAAGTATAAAGAGTCACTCAAACCTATTGCCAATTATAAGAAAAAATTATCAGCTTGAAAGGTACATGGTTTAAGTCTATTCCATGAATTAGGCCACATCCAACCAAAAATTTTGTTAGTAATCTCTTTTTCTATATGCTCTACTATCCTTCCTTTTACCCAAAGTTCAAAAATATTTCATTCAGACCTCTTCTTAAGCACTGAGAACATGTGAAGGCAAAAGAATATGTTAGGGTTACTCAGCACATGCATAGATTGTCACAATTATAGAGCCCTCCCATAAATGCAGAAGCATTATCCTTCTTTGAAACCTTAGAGGTCCAAAAACTCCAAATAATACAGAAATATTAATCAATAAAAAGAGTGACATCTAAAAGAGCTACTTATATTTAAATAAATAAAATTAAAAAAAAAAAAAAAATGGAAAAGACCCTGAAGATTATGCTGTTCATATTTTTCATTCCAAAAAATCTAAAAGATGGCATCTCTCAACTTCATAAATTAGGCCAAAAGTTCATAGTTATGCACGATGCATATAGGACCAAGTATTGATCTACAAAAACAAATTCATATCATTAGGGCTAAGACTATGCACATCAAATTCCCTCCATTCCTCCATGTTGAGGAAACGCTTTAGAGCAATGCTTAGGTAGAAATATGAATCAAAATGACAAGAAGCCTGAAGCAATCCAGGCATATATGTAAATATGGGACATCCTAAAAAGTGTAAGGTGATTTTTTTTCTATTGGGACAAATTATATAAATATACCTCAGACAAAATAACCATGAAAAACCTATAATGAACCACTTTCAACAAACGAAGACCCTATAGGGCAATAAAATAGCTACCTCTTAAGAAAATGTGATAAATAAACACAACCAGAGGACGGTTATCATGAGCTCCAACCAGTAAGTATGGCCAACAAAAACCAGTCTGTCTCTTTTATATCCTTGGATCTATGATAATTGACCCCCAATTGTGAGTCATTCCAAATGCCTGAAACTAAATAACCCCACTAAAATGTAATTTACTTCAACAAATTGTCTTGAAAAGTAGTTAATTTAAATAGCTGGAAAGACAAAAATATCCAAAAAAAATGGGTGAGACTCTTCATCTTACCTAAACAACCCGTGTTCCTCCGTACAAGGGTAAGAATATTCGAACCTTCTATTTTGGACAAAAATCATGAATAATTTTCACAAAAAAAGTGGAGTCGGAAAATTGGACACGTACCAAAAGCAACATAGAAGAAACCATGGGTATGTCACACATCAACTAAAGGAGGGCAAGAATAAAAATTATCATATGAGTAGAATAATAAAGACAGGGAATATAACAAAAGAAGATATTTGTTCAACGTATCATCCTCCCAAAAGAAAATCTTCTTCCCAACCCAATATACGCCGTCAAATGACCATAGCAGCGCACATAATACTAAAGATTTGGTAGCACACAAAAGAAGATAGCACCAAAGAGAGTGTCATTCTAAAAAAGATCCATGTAATGAGGCATCTTTGACACATCCACTGTCATTTTTGCCAAGCATATCATAAACTTTTATTCCATATAGATATATCGCACATAGTATGTATAGCAAGACTTAGTAGCAGCATAGTATACCTCAATCTTTGATTCTTAGATAATTCTCAATAATCTGTTAACCATCGAACTACCAACCACCTGTCATAGATAAAATAAAGAAACTGAAAATTTAAACAAATGTACAACTATATTGAATTAATGAACATGATAAATAATCTGAAATTGTATTATTAGTAAATTATAAGATTAGATACCCAGGTCTGCGACTAGCTCATTTGAGCTTGATTGTAAGATATTTACCGAGCAGGAAAAAGAATTTTAAAAAAAAATGTTACAGGCAAAGTAGAGATATATTCCCTCCCTATGCCAATACAACATCACATGCAATCTGTAACGAGTATGATAACAGTTTAGAATTCTAGAATAAAAAACATAGGTTCTAGGAGCCCATGTCTGCAACTATTAATGAATTATTCAATCACTATTATATTTAATTATCAAAAAGTAAAAGTTATACAAATTAGATACTATTAAAGTATAAATTGAAGCGAACCTTATAAGAACCCATGCGACTATAGTTTTCCTAAATCATAAATGTTAATCATATTAGAGTATGTGATTAGTGCATACGTCAAAAATGTTGCAATTTTAATGAAACAAAGGAAGTAGGATATTTAATGAGAAAAACTCAACTTGAAATATGGAAATCCATCAGAAATAAATTACCTACTATATACACAACCAATACATCGGCACTACAACAAGAGATAATAGCTGACATAGTCTTGAAAGGTTACCATGCTTAAAACTTCTCAACTAAATGCTTGTAAGTGCTCCTTCGTTTGGATAGTGCCCATCGGAGGCTCTTATAAATCAATTCAAAATTAAAAATGAATTAGAAATGGGCTTCCATATGAATTAAGTTAATGTAACTAGGATTCCTTTAGACTTGATACACTAAACTACTATTGATTAATTCGTGCCCCACTTAAACTCTCACAAATCTTACTTATTCAAGTTACTCGTGAATATCTACTAACTAATTGTATAACATTCATCCAAAAACCACCTTTTTAACCTTATCCTTCCACAAAATACATACTTCAGCAACAAGAACACAAATACGCAAACCATAGTCTCACCACCAAAAAACATTTACATACTACCATCCTTTCATAATGTTCTTTACATTTCTTTATACATAGTCTCAAATGCACATCTTTTAATTGTTAATATCTTCAACTTTGAACAAGAAAACTATGAAAATTTGATGTTATGAGTTTTAATTTTGAAACAAATCCAACAAGATCCTACATAATAATGTTTCCTCTTACATTTAAGTCATCATTTAGGGGTTTCATACTTTGACCACAAGAATAGTGAATGTAAAAACATAATGAAACGAAGACAAGGAATAGGGTCCAGATTCTAAATCAATCATTAATGTTTATTAATGCAAACCAATGTTTAAAAAAGAAATTTGGTACTCATCCCTACATCACTATATTTAAAAGTGACAAAAAGTAGTCATAAAACATGTTTTCATCATAAAATATCTAATATGTAAGACCTCTTCTTTTCTCATTGTTTCTCACAAAGGTTAATACTCCATCTCTAAAAGTCTTATGCGTTGGTCATGAACATTTTATGCACATCCCAAACCTAAAATTAATCTTTCTATGTTGTGTTGTTAATCTCTCTTGTTTAAGTGGAATGTACAAGTTAGTCTCTCCGATGGCGAGAGATAATTTGGTAGAAAACTATCACTCCACATGTGAGAGCATTTTGTGTTGCAGGGTTGAAGATTTGGAATATCAAGATAAAGTTCGATTTCATATTCCCAATACCAAATGTAAGGACCCCTGAGACTTATGATGCTTAAACATCAAATTATGTTTATGGTTTGTTGTTAGTGGATTAGAAAAAGATAGTTATTGATGTTACGAAATTATTAATATGTAGAGATGATTGTTGTTGCACATGTCTCATGGCTTATTATTAATGATATTTTTCATATTTTATAGTTTAACAATATTTAAAAAGAACTTCCATTTAAAAGCCTAAATTGCAATATCAACTATCTAAAAAGCTACCAAAATTGCAATTGTTAAAATTTATGACCTGCTACAAGTATAATCTTTAATAGCAATTTATAAAACCCAACGTAGCACTCAAAGATGAAAAACAATGAATACATTCATAACATAATTTATCAAATAAAATTTTAGTACACTATAGATAAAAGTGTAGTGACTTTAAAATCAAAGAACTACAAGCCCCATACCACCATTGTAAACTTCAAAATTTGACCATTGCATGAATATAGATGATAGAGGTGTACTTTATTCGGTGATTGTCTAGACGTTAAACCATAGAATTTAATCACCTTATGGGACAAATAATGAACTATTACAAAGAGAAGAAAAAAAAAAAAAAATTGCACAATTGTTACTAATTTAGAGAAAGTGTATGTACTTTAAGAAAAAACGGTAAAAAGGGGTATACCAAATGAAAACAACAAATGTCGAGACATGAGGTATGGTGGAGCATAGAGGATTCCAACATTATAACTGGATTGGATTGTGTCATTCTACTCTAAGTCTTTTCCTCTTTGTACTAGTTTTAGGAGTTAAAGAGGTCCATTGATTAGATAATTTGGTACTCCCTCCGTCCATTGTTATTCTTTCATTTAGTATCATGCATGTTTTGTTTGTTTTAAAATAATCTCATAAGTAACCTTAAAACGGTACTTTAGTTTTGGTAAATGAAACAAAAAAAACAAAAAAAAAAAAAAAAAAAAAAAAAAAAAACTTCTATCCATGGTAACTCATTTGTTGATTAATATAATTCTTAAGGTTTAATACCTAAATATATCTTTATTTGTCGACCACAATTAGCATTTCTATGGTTAAACCCTCTCCTTCCCTATCTTCCTTCTCTCTCCTCATCCACCACCCCTATGTCAACCGCTTCCTTTTCAACTACATCTCTTTGACGCATAACACGTCTCCATCTTCCTTCCTCAAACTCAACCATTTACAGTCATTCACCCATTTCTAATAGTTCCCACATGTTCTCTCCTCTCTTCATTCTCCATCTCCAACTTCCCTCCCCAAACCCCATTTAAATTCACCCTAACACCTGATCTTCTCCTTCAAAATTCTCTAGGGTTTAGTTATGCACAATTTGTCATTGCATCAACACTCACTGTTTTGACGTTGTCAAGGATGTTTCTAAGTTATTGCCTCTAGTTCAAAGAGTTGTTGCCAACGTGCTCTTACCTTGTTGTGCTTGTTAATGTAGTGTTGCTTCAAATAACAAGGATCTTTTTAAAACGATAACGAATTTTTTTGAGATTGTGATTGTTCATACGGTTTAATTTGTTTTACTCTCTTATTTAATTTAGTAGTTAGTGAGCAAGAATTCTAGATTGATAATGGTTTTCTTGGTGGTAGTTTTTTTTTGGCAAGATTTATGTATACCTACTAGAGTGATGGCTAAAAAAAAGAAATGGAGGTTGGGCAATCAATCGTTGATTTGCAAGGCAGAAGAGGAAAGGAAATAAAATAAGAAGGCAAAAGAGAAAGGAAGGAGATAGAGGAGGCATATGGAGCTAAAAAAGACGATGGTGGCCGAATTGTGAGCATAGCCAGGCGAAGGTGTCCAACTTTTAGTGGAGGATATGGAGATAAAAGAGAGGAGGGAGTAAGGGGGTGTCATAAGGAAATTTAAGCGATTCTATGATTGTGCTATTAACCATCATGAGAAAATAAAAAAACTAATTTTGTTTCTTACTATTTGTAACAAAAGGTTATTAATTTGTAAGACAAAGATATTCCTTTGTAGCAAATAATAAGAAACGAAGGTAGTATTTTAAGGTTTTATACTTCCATAATGTCATGAGGGGTATTAATCAAGAATAAAAGGTTACCTTAAATACGAAGTATTTCTTTCGTTTACTAAATAGAAATAAATAGAAATTGCAATTTCACATGGTTACCAATTAAAATTTCCCATTATTTTACCAAAGATTGTTTTATGTTAATTTATGGTGAATTTACATAAATAACAAAGACTACAAACATAAGTTACTTTAGGAATTTGAAACCCTTACAAAGCACATCCAAGTCCCAAAAATAGCCACATTTAAGCTACTTTTAAGAGCTTTATTTTCCATTCTTTGAACACTCTAAGCTACATTTACGATAACATATTTCGCATAGTTGAAAAAAATACCAATTTACGTGCAATCATACACCATGCCTATTGATCAAATGGAGGAAACATAGGCATGGTAATTCACTAATAATAATCGAAGCTTTTGATCTATTTTAATAATCCAACCTTTAAAGGTAATTCACTTTTATTGATCCCATGTGATTGGTAACAAAAAAAAAAAAAAAAAAAAAAGGTAATTTTGGTTTTGTTTTTTTTTTTTTGAGAGGTTTAGGTGAAGACAAGAGTTAGGGAGGAGAAGATAGAAATCGATGTGAGAAGGTACAAAGGGAATGATGGGAAGGGAAGAATAGGGGATGGTAGCCTAATAGGTGCCATGAAAAGGGAAGGAGGAGAGAGAGAAGGGTAAGGGAGGAAAGAGAAAGAATTCTTTTCAAAATAATTAATTAACATAAAAAAAAATTTAGACTAATTAAAGAGCGACATGTGACATGCTTAACCCATCAAACCGATTACCAACCGTTGAGGCGTAAGCAAATTACCCCCTTTGTTAGAGAATATTCAGAACATATTCCCAAAGAAAAAATGTTGAATTGCTAGAATAATTTTTTCTTTTCGAAAATACTTTAACTTCGTCGAGGATCTACAACCCCCACTTAATGCACAATAATTAATGAATAAGTAATATAGTAATTTTTTATTGATAGGTCCTACTTTACAATTACTTCAATTATATAAGAGCCTCGGAAAATGCAACAAAGTTATTAAATGACTAAAAAAATTTGAACAAAACCAAGATTTCAATAGATATAAGATTAGTGATAGACACGTAGAAAAAAAAAACACATAAAATTGAAATATTATGTATATTATAAAAGAAAATGCAAACAATAAAGTGAAACACTTGAACAAAACACATAAAAACAATAAAGAGAGTATTTGTGACATGCCCGGAAAATTGTGTTTGGTTGACAAAAATAGCGCCAAATTAATGCTCAACAACAATGAAGAAAAAATTCATATAATTTAGGCTAATTTAGGATAGTAATACATGAAGTGTCATTTTACTATTTTAGAATTTAAAGGAGGCTAAACATTAAGTACTTCATTTTTCCATTTGTTGCTCAAATGATACCTCTTGATGATAGGGTGAACGAACTTAAGACTCGGGAGGAGGAGATGTATTAGAGACAACAAAATAGACAAAACTAAAAATGGTGACAAAGATATTTCATTTTTCCATGTAAAGGCAAACCAAAGGAGGGCTCGAAATCACATTAAACCTATTAAAGATGATGAGACATGGTACAAAAATGAGGTTTCGATCAAGATTGCGGAAATGGTTGCTATGATTCAGTTACGGAATAAATGCATTGATCATGGATTGTGTCGCAATTTGTCGCACATGAATTTAAATTATATTTAAGTTTTAAACTATATGTTTTACGATGATTTTTATCATAAATATTGGAAATCTTATATTCTTATACAAGTATATTGTGTATTCCTATACCTCTCTTTATATTTTAGAATTAAAATCCTTAAAGTGTGTGGGAGGCCTAGGGTAGTAAATTAGTACTCCTTTATGAATAAGGGAAAGAGAAGGGTGGGGCATGGGGTTACGTGGGATGTGAGAAGGGAAAAAAAGTAAAGGGAAAGAGAAGGGGTGGCAAGTAAAATTTTCAAAAGAGAATAAAAAGGGATGTCTAATAACCAGTACCCAACTCTATCCTATTTTAATTTTTAAAACAAAAAAAAGCTTTTTTTTTATTCGGCTAGAGAATCTGCTAGACTTTTATGGAGAATTCGCAACCCCTCACCGGAAAAGTGTACAGAGAGCTTAAACCTTGGTGTTTTTACTAAGGATATTTGCTGGTAATGTTTGATGCGACCAAGTTTCAGTTCAAAACAGTCGTACCGATCAAAATCGCGGGGTATTATAAAGCAGTGTGTTGAACCGTATATATCAAAACGGCAACTTGCAAATCTGCTACGTCTGAACTGATTCGCAATGAAAACGACCAATTTTCGAACAAGGGGCTGGGAATAGTTATATGGAGGAAGAGCAAATTACGAAGGTTTTTGTTAAAAAAAAATTTGAGGATCTTTTTGCAACGAGCAGACGGAGGTGGAGAAGATAACCGCGGCAATATCAATCGAGCAATTCAATAAGATGGTTGCCCCTTTCAATGGAGAAGAGGTGAAAAAAGCGTTGTTCCAAATGTGTTCGACAAAAGCTCAAACGTTATGTCTGGCATTTTCTTCCAAAAATTTTGAGGAGTTATAGGTAAAGATGTGATTGACAAAGTTATAAACATCTTAGATAATGAGGATAAAGGTCATTTAAATCAAAATCATATTAATTCAATTCCAAAAAAGAAATTGCGTGTCTCTTTTAATTTTAGACCAATTAAATTGCGAAATGTTTTGTATAAATTGTGTCAAAAGTCTTGGCAAACAAGTTAAGAGAATCTCAGAGTTAAAATACTCTCCATTATTGCCCGACGAATAACTGATAATATTCTAGTTACTTATAGATATTTTCATCATATCAGAATGAAGAAAAGAGGGAAGAAATGTGTCCTAGGCTTGATACTTGACGTGAGTAAAGCTTACGATAGAGTGGAATGAGATTTTTTTAAACAAATGAGGTGTGTTAGCTCTACTTCTTTTGATGTGTTAGGTGAATGGGCAAGCCTCAAAAACTTTCAAACCAAGTAGACAGCTCCAGCAAGGGGATCCTTTGTCTCATTTTTTATTCATCAATCATGTGTGCAGAAGGGTTATCTACTAACAGCGCCAAGAGGAGAAAAATCATCATGGGGTTAAAAATTAGGACTGCTAGTCTTTTTTTTTTTTTGGATGACAGTCCTTTTTCTGTGCGTGCTAATGAGGAAACTGAGAGTATTTTTCAACCTATGAAGTCGCTTCGGTATGGATAAATCAGAAGTATCTTTTAACCAAACATATTTCAGGAAAAGGGAAATATGCTGCAGATGAAATTATCTTTTAAAGTTGTTGATGGACATGATAAATATCTACAACCTACATTAGCAGCACCGAGAAATAGGTTTTCCAATCTATTCAGAAAACACTAAGGGGTGGAAAGAAAATTTTCTTTCTCAAGTCAGGATGTGAAATTCTCATTAAACCGTTGGCTTAAGCCATCCCACTTATGTTATGCAACTCCATTCCACTGAGTATTCTTAATGAGGTTGAAAGACGAAAACAATTTTTGGGGGTCCACAAAGGATGAATGGAAGATTTGTTGGGTTGCATGGGATAAGCTTAGTCTTTAATAAGGCCTTGTTGGCCAAAACAAGGGTGGAGAATATTAACATAAGAGCGGTTTTTAACGACGAGGGTTCTCAAAGGGACATATTTCAACTCTTCTACGTTGTTGGAAGCAAATAAATGTCCCAAATATGAGCGAGCTACACTTGGAGATCACTCTTGAATAGCCGGGATGTAATCAAGAAGGGTGCAACGAAGCATATAGGGAATGGTATGAATATAAATATTTGGGATGATCAAAGGGTGTCTAAACTCCCTAATTTTCGGGGTTTCTCTACAAACGGAGGTGGGAAGGATTTTCCGACTTTGTCAATGAGTTGTGGGAAGGAAGGAGGTGGAAGTGCAGTACCTTAATGGAGTTGTTTACGCCAATACAAGTAGCAAATATTAGTTGTATCCCTCTTCCAAGTTTTGGCAACTTTCAAAGGAAGAAAATTACACCATCAAAGAGTGTCTATAATATGCTTCTATCAGATTATGCAAAGACAACTAAATCAAACTTTAGTTCTGTTTAGGGGTGAGCATTACCGGGTAGTAAAACTAAAGACTCGCCCCGGAACTGGTTAGTATCGGGAACAAGATTTTGGAACCGGATCCGGAACCAGTTAATATTGGGTCCATAATTTTCAGATCCGGAAGTGGTAGGAACCAGCTCCAGAACCAGGTACCCGGTTGGCTTATACAAAGTAAGAAAATCAACGACGTCCCTCTAACAAAAATGATTAAAAAAAATCAAAATCAAACCCAAAAACTCAGATTATGGAGCTTGGATTACAGAAAAAAAAAATAAAAATTCATCTTCATCAGCATTATTTTTTATATCTTCTTCGTCATCTTGTCTTTTACCTCTTTTCATTGCAAAAATAAAAACTAATGATGGAAAAGAGTAAGGTAAGATCTAAAAATTTGTAAATGGGTAAGATTAGAGTGATTTATTTACCACTGTGTGGGTGAAATTTCTAAAAAAAATCATCAAAATGGAGTTGAAGGGGGCGGATGAAAGTAGATATGGTGAATTGATGTTAGGTGGCTAACAAAATGAAAAGGGTATTAGGGTTAAGTAAAAAGAGTACTCCTTATATATGTGGTTGATGGAGTTTAAAACAGAGAGTGCGCCAAGTATTATAAGGGCCCAATGGAATAATATATTCCTTCCGTTTATAATGGGCTATGAAATGTGCTATGAAATGTACATTTATATGGAAATACAATTGGTTTCGGATACCCATCGGGTACCGGGTCCTAAAAATCAAGAATTGGAACCGAAACCTGATTTTTAGAGCCGGGATACCGGTTCTGGACCCAGCGGGTCTTAATCGGTTCCACGTCAGCAGTTCCGAGACCGAGTACCGAATATTTTTGCTCACCCCTAGTTCTTTTGATTGGAATGTAGTTTGGAAAGAGAAGATGCCTCCAAAAATTAAACCTAATTTGTAGCAAATAGTTAGAGACAGCCTTCCAACCAAAGCTAATTTGATGACAAGGGAGGAGCGTGGACCGAAAGTGCCCTTTGGTGTGGGGATGGGGGACCGTATGCTGGTAAATTGTCATGTTACAAGCTTGCTTTGGTATCATTCTCCTGCGACTGGAGATTGAAACCTTTGACTTTCAGCCAATGGTGCGTGGACTTGAAAAAGAAAATGAAAGGACCACAATGGTGGGACTTATTTGGAGTTTGTTAAAAGGGTGTGCTTCAGGCTTAGCGCTTGGGTTTTTGAAGGAAAGAAGAGATTATTCATAAAGCAATTGGTATGGTAGGAGAGAAAGCTCAAAAGGTTGCATGAATGGTAATAGGGTTAGGGCTTTACCGTTCCAAGCTCCTTTTGTAGGAGTTTACAAAACAAATTCTGATGTAAACATTTTTTGGTGATGGTAGTGTCGACTTTAAAGATATGGATCTTTACCTTTATTGTTGGTATATATAGAATTTATATGGATCTTAACTAACAATAAAGGCATTAAAGGGGTCGAGAATCGAATAAACCTCTTACCATATAAATTCATATATTTTTAAAAAAAAATATAAAATAAATTTTTAACCTAGCTAATAGGTTACACATCCTCAGTTCCAAATTAGATGACACAGTTTGACTTTATGCACTATTCACATAACATGCTTAGACTTTGTTCTGCGATTACTTGCTTTGACTTCGTTTTGTGATTTCGTGTTATAGCCATGTGGGGTTTTGTTAGATTCGTCTGAACATCTATTTTATAACTATTATATTTTTATAATTTTTGCTAATATGTAATCAAGGATATTTGCATTAGGAAATATGCATTGGCAAACGTTCCTAAATGAGATATGTCATCTCATATGAAACGAAGGAAGTACTTTCTTTGTTTCTAAATTGATGCACCTCTTTCCTTCATAGGATGTTTAACAATACATGCATCCCTTGTCTTTTTAGTAAAGTTTTACATGCAAGAATGCTACATTTCCCTTATTTTTGAGGGTACCAACTCCACTTTCACCTTACATGTTATGGTTAAAGGTAAGCACATGGGCAATTATGTAAATTACTCCAACCTCTCCCCTTTTTATGTAAATTATTAGGTAAGCCATGTCTAGAAACATTGGGATGAAAAAAAAAAATAGTACACTTGCGATTGTGATAATGGTTGCATTACTTGACAAAATGACTTGTAATGAACATATAAAACGGAACATGGCTAACATAGTTTAATTTTTTTCAAATTATTCACATTAATGGGTTTAAGACTTGTTTGACATTATTTAAAGTTTAGAGATACTCATTCCATCCCACATTACTTTTCTCGATTGGGTTTTTTCACGCAAATTAAAAAAATTGAGGCATGATATGATTGGAAAGTAGATGTTAATATTTATTTATTTTTTTCCTTTTTAAATCTATAACAAAAAAATGAGAGATTGATTAAGTTAATTTGGAACTTATTGGATATTAATGACCCCCATGGTGGGCACATTTTGAAGGAAAATTTACGGATATTTGTGTCTTAAAATTTTCAAATGAGAGCATAATAAGAATAATATACGGCTATAAAAAGAAATAGGAAGCACATTGTGGGACAACAAAAATGGAAATGGGAGAAGTAAAGAGGGAAATACAAAATATTTTTTAGCCATAATATAACCAAATTAATCATAATATGGTTTGGGGTGACATACTTAGTGAATTTAAGGAAGTACTTAGTTATCATGTTTATAAACTAAGTAACTAGACCCTCCACTCCTTTTTATTAGTTACGTTTTCTACATCGGGTGTTCCCATTTATTAGTTACATTTAGAATTTTATTATTTGTGTTTGTACTTCTTTGACCCTTTTGCCCTTATTTACAATTTATACTCCCACTTTTTCACACAAAAAATTATACAAATGTTCTTTAACAATTTTACTTCTTCGCTACCAATCACATAGGCACAATCACACAGGTACCAAAAAGGGTGTACTCTTTTTTTTTTTTTTTTGAAAACCACATGCTCCATGACATGGCCTTCTTTTCTTTTTTAAAAAAATAAATAAAATCAATTATCAACTTTATTTTCAACTTCAAAATCATAAAATAACTCCAAACATAACTAAATATAAGAAACAGAAAGAGTAATTGATAATATATTTTTGTTAAATTAAATTAAAAAAAAGACAATAAACAAATGTTCTAATATGACAAGTCGCTGTTACGTAACGCACGGGGGAAATAAATACGTTACACAATGACCTAGTTTCAATTACATGCCTATAACAAGTCAAAGAAAAGGATCATTGTTAAGCTCACATAATATATGCCACAATACAATGCATGGACACTTCACCTAAAATCATATCCACGTAAAAAGTACCACGCGATGGACACACGATGATACATGGCTTTTTTTATGTATTCAAACGCTTCAACTCAAACCATATCCTACTAAGATACAACCCATTTCGCTTTTTGACACATCTCATCTTTTCAATTTTTGATCAAGGCTATGTTTGTTTTGAAATGATTTTCTCATTTTCCATTGTTTCGACAGTAAAGGAATGCAAAAAAAATTCCCAAAGGTGGAAAATAGTTCTCGTAAGAATAGACATTATCCCTAGGGATGAGCATGAATTTAGGCTACCCGATCTTGGAACCAGAACCGGTTTGGACCCGACGGGTCCAAACTTGGACGTGGACCCGGTTCCGGTTTCAAAATTTTGGAACCGGTGCCAACCGGTTCCAATTCCAAGTCCTAAAAATTTAGACCGGGTACACACTAGGTTAAACCGATTCCGGTTCCGGGTACCCGAATTTGGACCCGACTAAACCGGGTACCCGGTTATTGGTACTATTTGTTTTTTTTATATATATTTTAGCTGGATTTTATAATATAAATTAGGCCCATTTAATAATAAGTCCAATATGGGGAAAACCCTAGTTCATTTCTCATTTGTTAGCCTACAACCTCCACTTCATTTCTTAGTCTCTCCCTCCCGCTCATCCATGTTCATCTAGTTGCCTGATTATCCAATTCAAGATAATGTTTGATTAATTTTGTACGTTTCAATTTAAATTTGTTCGTTTTTAATTTTATCACATTATTTTTGTGGAAATTTGTTCTTTTGTTTTTTTTTTGCGAAAATGTTCATGTGAGGTTGATAAATTGTTGAAATATTTTCTAGTTTAATTTCTCTTTTGATTTATGCATTGAGTTATTAAATCTATCACTCGTTTGATGAATTTTATTTTAGGATAAATTGACCAACCTAGAGTAATGTGACTAACTGTTAGCATGTTTAGGTCTAATGTTAGTGAACTTGTTGTGAATATGTGTATGGCAAGATGGGTAAGGACTAATTTGATTGTCAGCTTGGGTCGTTTTCTCTCTTAACTTATTTTTTTTTTTTAGGAATCACTATTAAATTATTAAGTCTCTTACTAATCTTGTTTACAACTTTTTTTTTCCGAGGTTAATGATAGTGGGATACTGAGATTACACAAGTTGATGATATTCTTGGAAACAATTGATGTAAAGGTCACTTTTATTATGTTGGCTTGCTATTTCTATACGGTTAATTTGTATTATTTTTTTTTTTTTTTGGCTATGTTAATTTGTAATTTATGGAACTTTTAATGGGAACTTTTAATTTGTAATTTTTGGAACTTCTTATGCGAACTACTATATTAATTTGTGTATGATATTTATAATTAGCATTCGGCAATAAATTAGGTATTGTACAGGTTTAGTGCAGGCTAACAGCAACAAACAAGTTTGTGAAAGAGTAAAATACCATTAAAAAATTTAAAATAAAACATCGTGCACCCGATTTTGGAACCGGTTCCTACTGGGTCCAAGACCGGATCCAGATTTTTGGGTTCCGGTGTAACCAGTTCCCTTTTTTGGGACCCGGTGTAACCGGTTCCGATTCCGAGTCCAAAGAAAAAAAATCGGGTACCTGGTTATGAACACCCCTACTTTCTACTCCTATTTTCCCCAAACCTATAAAAAAATTTCTTGTAAGGGAACAAACAAAGGAAAACTATATTGAAAATTATTTTCCATGAAGAACCATTTTCCCAAAAAGTTTTTCGTTAAAACAAACGAAGCCTTATAAAATTAAAGTGAAGTAAGAGAAAGAAGGTAACAATTAATAATATAGGCACCTTCATAGCTCATTTTTAAGTGTGAACTAAAAAGTACTCCGTATTGAGATATTGTTAATGTAATAGTGTGTGGTCCAATGAAGAACAAAATGATAATATAGAAT